TTGGTAGTTCATAACAAATGTGATTTTCTTAAACTATTTTTTGAGCAGATTAATTATTTGCGTAATTTACAAGGCGTTTACACAATTAAGCAAGTTTTAAATAATGAATTTGTCGAGTGTATATCCAGAAAAGTTGCTTTAATTTAATTGTGCTGAAAAAAATTTTCTCGAACCGTAAAAACTTTTGACAACTTATTCAGTGTTATCAAGTAAGTAGAAGAGTATTTCAGTTTTTAGGAAATCAATTCAAAAAAGATGAATAATTAATTGGCCCTAGAAGAGGAGTTTAATAGATTACAAAATAAAGATAGGTAAAAAAAAAAAAAAGTTGTGCATAACATTGAAGTGCAGAACGAGTTTTAAGATACAATCTGTCGTTTCTATGAGAAAAAAAAATCGAGATTTATTTTGGGGAATCAATTTCTTTTAATATAGCAAAAATCATTCATGTTCAAAATAACAATTTATAATTAAAATCCTCATCGTTCACGTCCATGTGTATAATAATCTCAATATTTGAAAACATCTAAAGTTGTGCATCTCTTGTTACTTTGTTCTGATGAATTTTAAAAATCATTCAAAAGTCAATCTCAATAATAACTCAACCAGTAGTTGTAACTCATATAAACCTCTTTGAATTATAGGTTTTGCTCTTAAAAATAGTATAAAATCATGATAAAATTTGCCGTATTGCCGAAACTTTAGATGATATTTATTAACGCGAACATATTTGAAAAAATAACACAGTTTACTCTGATTTAATCGAATATCAAAAAACCTTAATTTTTCTCTTCAGCAGGGCAATCGATTTGATTTTGTGGATGAGCTTTCTTAAAAGCATCCAATTCGTACAAATCATTTGCAATTCGTTGGATTAAAGGAAATTTTGTCATGTCAATACCAAATCTAAAAAATGATTTTATCAATTAATGATCAAATATTAAACGTTTTTGAATATGTTATAAATGAAAATAAAAAAATATTCCAAACCTGTTAGAATTATAAACCTGTGGCAAAAGAACAACATCTGCCAAAGTAACTTCGTCGCCAACACAATATTTACCAGACGTTTTTGCAAGTTGCTTTTCAACTCCTTTAAAATAAATTCAGATAAGTAAAAAATTTTTTATTTCATTAATACTTTTTTTTTTTTGTGGAATAATGTAATTAAAAAAAAACCAATATTTAATAAGATATTTAAATACCTGCAAAACCTTGAACAATACAATAATTAATCCATTCATCTCTATTACCTCCAATACTTTCAATAAAGGTTACAGACCTAAGATTTTGAAGTGGTTGAATGTCGCCTGCGATTGCTTGAACTAGAGATCTAACCTATTAGATAACAAACATTTGATCATTTCGAGAATTTCAAGTCTAGCAAAATAAATATATATATTTATTTATAATAATTTATAATACCAGAGCTCTTTTATATGGATCTTTGGGTAATAATGGCTTTTCTGGTCGGATTTCTTCCAAATATTCAAGTATCGCAACTGATTGACTTAATACAATACCATTAATTTTTAAAGTTGGGACAAGTTCATATGGATTGATCTCTGAATATTCTTCTTTATTCTAATTATTTTATAAAATTAATTGCAGAAAAGAACTTTTTTTTCAAAAAAAATCGTTCAAATTTACCTGAGCTCCTTTTAGCAAATTAACAGGACAATATTCATAGTCAATTCCTTTCCAGTTTAAACAAGTACGAACTCTCCAACTACAAGAAGACCTATAATATGAATAAAGGATTGGTTTTTCACTAGACATTTTGTCAAAGTTGAGTAAAAATAAGAGTATCAATTTTTTTCTTCTTTATTCAAAATTTGATTTATTAAATAGTTCACACGATTTGATTTATTTACGTATCGGGTATGCAAGGTGAGTAAACTATCTGCATAAATTACTAATAAAAATTATCATTCATATGATTTTTGTTGACTATTAATAATTAATTTAGAAATGC